TTGTAGGGTTTCTCTTTTGTCCCACCTGGAAAGAATCTACTATCCCTCCCAAAAGATTGCAGCTACAATATCCTGTTGATCTCTCTACATCCAGTCTTGCTATGTTCCAATCACATTCTCTAACTTCCTTATAAAAGAAAAATTGGACTGTACCATTCCCTGCTTAAATCCTTCAAAGGTCTCTGCGGCCCTCACGGTAGATTCCCAAACACCTCATAAGTTAATAAGTTAAGTAAAGCATAACCTTTGTCATGACATTCTAGCCATAGTGATCATGCAGTTCTCCAACACACCAGGCATTCACAGCTCCATGACTTTTTTCATGCTGTTTCCACTACCTAGGATGCATTTCTGGCTTGTTCACCTGACAAATACTTACCCATTTTTTAAGACATTGATGCATTCATTTTTTTTTTTTTCATTCCCAGCTTTGTGATCTGACTATACTTGGGACCAAGTCTAGAACATAATAGGTGTTAATTGTTGAATAAGTTAGTGAATGGGTGAACAAATAAACACATGATTTTTATGGGATGACATCCTGCAAGAACACTCAGAAACAAAAATGAAGAATCATTGCATTTGAAGCAATGGATGCTAAAGGGATCAATAGCATAATGATTTTGAGAAGAGAAAAACACATAAAGAAGCCAGAGATAGGAGTTGGGGTTAGTGATCAATGCTATTGCAACTGCAGTTCTGCTCCTGAAAGGCATCTTTGTGGCCTCATGCCTACTTCTCTCAGGTCCTGGCTTGATTTGATAATAAAGCCCACCACACAAATGCAACCATCCGGTACTGGAACCCCAAAATTCCAGGTTTGGGTATTTAACACACAAGTAAAACCAAAACTGAATTACCGTGCTTGGAGATAAAGTTTTCTGCAAATTGGCTAAAGTGAGAGGATGAAAGAGCAAAACATCTCTGATCTGTCTTACCAAAGAAACAGAAGACAGGGAGTTTTACAGGGCCAAGAGTTAAGGAAGGGGGAGTCTCAAGGAAGTTAAGAGAAGGCCTGTGTTTTCTCCTCTGACTCCAGATAAGATCTTAGACAACCAGGCTCCTTGGCACCAGCCAGTGGCAGCTGGTTCTAGGTCCTTCAACAGTCACAATTTCTTTGAGAGCATTCATTTTTTCTGGAAAACAAACTAATAAATTCTCCTTGTGATATCTGAGTCATCTCTTCCTACTTGATGGAAAACTGGACATGAGCAACTTATAATTATGTTATGGGAACAAGGGGTTCTGGGCAGGAAGCTAACAGCTATCAGCAAGTGAACTAATACTCAGATCATTAATTTGGGGCCACTATTAAATTTTAAAGTGTTAAAATTTCAGAGAGCTTGTCAGTTTCATACTCACCAAGAACATTTATACCAATAACCTCCTGCTGTGAAATCTCACAATATATCTGGAAAAACATAAAGGTTAGTGAGTCAAGAAGTGTGAGAAGCAGGGACAGGACTCAGGACTCTGGAATCCTATAGCAATATTAAAATGAACACACCTATG